GGTGAAGCTGGAAGCTACCCAGCCCCAGCACAGATCCTCACTGCCTGACCCTGGCAAAACTCTTCAGCTCCATGGGCTGGATCCAGCTTGTGAGCTATATGTTGCCAGCCCCTAGTATAGATAGGTGTATCAAATGTATTGGTATCAAAAGATAGTAGAATAAGTTGCTGTAATGCAAGCTGCAGTACAGCTACAGCTTGAACCCTGTTACATTCAAGGTCAATGTTAGGGTGTTTTAGCCATTTTATATATAACTACAGAACTGTGCAGACAGAATAGTTTGATACAAGTGATGTTCGCTCCCAAGATGTAGCTTCCCCTCCCATTTTAAGGTGGTTAAAAGGTGCATTTGTAGGTATCCTGGCTTAGCAGAAATTGTTAACTATTAAGGGATGACATAAAGAACTGTCTTTAAAAGAATAGATAGTCCTTTTTGGATAAATTTCCCAAATCATTAAGTAAATGTCTAAACTAATGAACTGATAAAAATAAATTTTTAACTGTATTAAATTTAACCTCCCATTATTTATTGAATGTTCCTAAACTTTGAAGTCTATGAAGTTCCTTTTGAACAAAAAGAGTTTAATGTTTAGAAAAAGGTCAGCTCAAAATGTGATGTTAACTTTTACTAATCAAAGATTGGATGCTGTCTAGGGTGAGATGTCAGGTAATTTCAGCTGTCTCCAAGTTATAATAAACATATTTATATAGAGCCAAAAAAGGAACACAGGATATCCCCTAATGGCTGGAAATATTTAAGACCTTTTTATATGACTAAGACAACAAAGCTGAAAGTAAAAATAAAAATACTACTGAATCTTTGAGGCCAGGGTTTTGTTGTTGTTGTTCTGAATGGTTCACAATATTGAATGCCTTAGTGTAACCAAAAATGGAACTCCAGATATAATCCACAGTCTGCTGTGAAATGCAAATTGCTGGTGATTTGTTAGTGATATAGTACAATGCTATGACTTTAGATGGAAAATATAACACAGAAAAATAGTTCTGTGTAATACTCTGTCTTTTGTTGGTTCTAGAAAGGCTTGCTTCATCTTTGACAGTGCAGGACTGTAGAATTAGTCTAGTCTAATTCCAAATGTGAAGTCTAATGACACATAAATCACTACTAGTAAATTCAGTATTTTGACCTCATTCAATATGAATTTATTGAAAAGTCGTCATTTTATAGTCATATGTAAGATATGTAACTTTTCCTTGAAAGGATGTGAACTATTTTAGGTTTTCAAATCATAACCGCATGCTGTGAAATTAAAAGTGAAGTATTCTAATTTGTATATATGAGATTAATTAAACACACAGCCCAACTTCTCTTGTTCATATAACTGATTATACAAACTGTATTTTTTTACATTTTAATGATTCTAGATGCCATAATTGTTCAAAGTATTACATTATAAATTTAATATTTATATGCAGTTTAGACCAAGTAAATCTGACTTGCATTTTAATCTTATAAAATAAGCATTGAAATTGTGTTTACTTTCTTCTTGGCTTTTCTTGTTCTCTTGTGTCTCCCATTTCCCACGGTCTTTGTCATTTCCCATGCTAAACATTTTAACTTAGAGTCTGGCAAAGTCCCATGGGAGCCGAGAACTGTGCACATATATTTATGTTATTTGCTTGAATTGTGTGGACGTTGGGAAGTTTTGAAGAAATCTCCCTAGGACTTGAACCTTATTTATTTGTCTTTTAAAATTCATATATGTTCTTTTTCAAGTCAAAGTCATGTATGGAAAAAAATCCTTTGGCCGCAGTTTGGAAAAAAATAGGGAAACCATTTACTAAATTGAAGCTGATATCCCTTCACTATTCTTGGGGAATTTCTCTTCATGAACTTATAAGTGAATTCATGAAAGATCTTGGTAAGATCCAAGGGCTCCTTGACAGTTGGCCATTAAAATATCAAAATATATGGTGATTCAAAAATGCAAGGAACCTTGATTGGGATGTATAAAATTGTTCGTAAAGCTGCGGTTCTAATGCTTTCTGGTTTGCTCTTGTTTTTATTTTCAGTATTAGAATCACAGCTATAAGGTCTATACGTGTGTGTAGAGGGTTTTTTGTGGGGAGGTTTTTTTTTTTTTAATTTTTTAATTTTATTTTTAATTGAAAGGAAAGGTACTGTGTTTATTCCCAAAACACACACCTTTTTTCTAGAAATCAGCTCTCCAAAATTGAGGTACAGGTCTCAAGCTGATTGAATATTTTTTTTCTGGATTAGAAGTATGAAGACACTGTGTTACAAAATGGCTGCCAGCTTCTTTCTCAACAAGCAAGCAGGAGGGGTAGAGTCCACTGCTAAGCCTTCCACAGTTGTTCTTAGCTTGCTTGCTGAGAGAGGCTGGCAGCTTTTTGGCAACAAGCCTCCCCATGAAAAAAAACCCCCAAGGTTTTTACTCTGGAAAAATCTTGTATTTTTCTGTGCACAGTCTTTCAAAAACAAGGTGCGTGTCTTATTGGAGGTGTGTGGTATGCAAGAAAATACAGGCACTGTGGCATAGTTTTTTGGCAAGTGGCAGATGCTTTAGCAGTGCAATTGTGGAATTTATGCAATCCTAGGTATAAAAATACAAATTTCAACATTGTACTTTCAACATTGAATTCAGAGCACTAAAAAGGGTACTGTTAGCTTTCACGTAGTTTTTGAAAGGGACAATCAGTGCACATAGTATGACCTAAATTTGCAAAAATGATTTGTGATTTCCACTGCCTAAATTTTGGGCCTAGAGAATCAAAGCGAAAAGTTTTTGGAAACTCAAGATCTTTTATAATTTTTGTAACTGCCCTCACAAAGTTAACAGAATTAATTCTGAAAATTTAAATCTATATCCAGCAGCTGCAGTCATTGATGCTTTTATGCCTAATGGACAGTTTGTGATGTTGTTATCTTAGCCACATTGTAAATTTAAGTATCATACACAAGGAATTTCATATTTTTAAAGGTGCTGATGAACCTCCGCAATCCAAATTATGAAAATGGGGATCAACCTAGTTCTAGAAATCACCTGGGTCTAATTCAAGTACCTTTAAAAGTTAAAGATATTCCTGAACTGGTGAGTAAGAAATTTATTTTATAAAATTGATAAACTGACTAATCAATAAGCTAATAGACAACAGGAAAGAATCATAATAAAGTGATATATTTTTAACATAAAGATGAATGAAGAAATAGCTTAGTAAATAGAATACTGGGTATGGAAAAGACTTATGAAAGGAATTATTTAATTAAAAAGAAGTCCTGATTAAAAATTAAATAATTTGCCTATAGGGAAAATTTTTGTCTGTCCAGCACAATTGGTGATTGGTTTATGCTTGGAGATGTTGGTATTTTTTTTTTTCAAATGCAATTTCCTTAATAATATAATAGTGAATATTTATATTATATACATGAGTAATTTATCCTTTTTGGATCATATTAAAGTCTTAGTGTAGCAGGACACTAGGGTGCCTGCTACTGAGTAGTAGTAAATGGGTAGCTGCCAGTCAACAGGGCAGCAGCTGGGTGTTGCTAGGGCAACTAATTGGGTCAGCTGACCGCCAGGGGGCAGGGCCTAGCCTTTATAAGCAGAGAAGGCTAGGGCCAGAGGCAGTCTTCCTCGGGCAGCACAAGGAGAAGGAGCTCTGTGGGAGTAAACAGAGCCAAGGATAACAGAGAGGTTTGATGGCTGGAAAGTGGCTGTGTATAAGGCTGGGTGGAGGAAACCCTGATACACAGAGATAGCCAGGTTGGCTTGGAGTTGAGTGGTAACCCAGGAAGGGGGAGATTGTGTTGGAGTTGTGTTATAACCCAGGAAAGGGAGATTTTGGTTTTGGGTTGTTGTGTTAAGACCGGAGGACCAGGTGAGGCTGTAGGGGTGTGAGGAGGCCTCACGGGAGCTCCCCAGTAGTCTGGGGGTTCCTGGGTGCCCTGTTCGGGGACAGAGCAGTGCCTAGAAGGCATGGCTGTTTGGCGCCGGTGGCGCTGGCGCGAGAAGCGCAGGACAAGCCCCGAGAAGGGCGAGGGCGCAAGAAGCGCGAGATAGAGGGTGCGAGAAGCACTGTAGGCCCAGTGGGCAAGGGCGCGAGAAGCGCGAGTAGGCCCCAGTGGGGCATAGGCCCAAGAAGGCAGGTCTGGGGGCCAGGTAAGGCTAAGGCCGCCTGAGCCCCAACTGGGAGAAGCCTGAGTCGGGCATATGGCCCTAGAAGGGGTCTGGGGCCAGGTAAGCACGGGAAGCGCGAGTACAGGCCCAAGTCGGGTGAGGAGCGCGGGAAGCGCAAGTACAGGCCTGAGTCGGGCTTAGAACCCTGAAAGGGGTCTGGGGCCAGGTAAGGCTGAGGCTGCCTGAGCCCTAAGCGTGTGAAACGCGAGGAGCGCGGGAAGCGCGAGTACAGGCCCGAGTTGGGCGTAGAACCCTGCAAGGGGTCTGGGGCCAGGTAAGTCTGAGGCCGCCTGAGCCCCGAGCATGCGAAACGCGAGGAGCGCGGGAAGCGCGAGTACAGGCCCGAGCGCGGGCGAGGCGTGGGAAGCACAAGCAAGGCCCAAGTAGTACAGGCCCGAGTTGGGCGTAGAACCCTGCAAGGGGTCTGGGGCCAGGTAAGGCTGAGGCCGCCTGAGCCCCAAGCGTGTGAAATGCGAGGAGCCCGGGAAGCGCGAGTAGTGGCCTGAGTCGGGCGAGGTTCGCGGGGCGCGGGCCCAAGCGCAGGTGACCGCGAGACGTATGAGGGGTAGGCCCCAGTAGGGCGCTGCTTGGAAGGGGGAAGTCCCAAAAGGGGGCGAGCCCAGTTAGAAGGCCCCAGTGTGGGCAAGAGCGGGAAGCGCGAACATAGAAGGCCCCAGTGTGGGCAAGCGTGGGAAACGTGAGCATAGAAGGCCCCAGTGGGGGCAAGCGCGGGCAGAGAGCGTGAGGAGCGCGAGGCACAGGCCCTGGCGGGGGCGAGAGCGCAGGGAGAAGCCCCAGGAGAGGGCACATATCGAGAAGGCCAGCACAGCGAGTAGAGCAGACTCCTGGTATAGTAAGACCGGCCCCGTGCCAAGGAGGGCAGGAAGGCAGCCTCCCATTGATAATAAAAGATCAAAGACTTGGCGGGCAAGACAGAGGGTGCGTTCAGGACCCAGACATGGCACGGTAGGCAAGGGCGCTAGGGGAGGTCACGGCACCCCTAGGGCGCTGCTGCCACACTTAGCCTCAATTAAGGCTTGTGCTAATTGCTTCCAAGCATTTATAACACATTATGTTAAAAGAAACAAAGACTCTCCTCCACTGGATGTCCCTTTCCCTTTATATTGGGAGGTGCTGTAAGTAGATATCACTTTGTGGTGATGACTTTGAACCAAATTTTCTGATGCCCCCTTGGGCTACACAAGTATTCAGGGTGAAATGTATCATTGCAGACCCTAAATATGGCCAGTGGAGAATTTTCCATGTGTAGTAGAAAACTCTGCTACCATGTCTACACAGGGTGGTAGAGCCAGGGGTGGGCAAAGTCCAGCTCATGACAGACTCCATTTCCCAGTAGCCCCTGTCTGTGTCGCTGTGGCCAACTTCCATGTAGACCCAAAGAGTGGTGGCGCTGTGACAGTGTGGGGCCTGGGTTTCCGTGGAGACTGGCCTCAGCAGGAGCTGGTTCAGGGCTGGGATCTTGTGGCAGTGCCAGTGTGGTCTGGAGCTGGGGCAGAGCTGTGATCCACTGCCTGCACACCCCAGGCAGGGGTGTGCAGGCAGCAGATTGCAGTTCTGCCTCAGCTCTAGACCAAACTGTCACCACTGCAAGATCCCAGGTCTGGCCCTGGAGCAGCTCCCTGCCCAGCCCTGCTGCTGGGGCCGGTCTCCATGGAAACTCTGACCCCGCGTTGTCATGGTGCTGCTGTTACTGGGGTCTCTAGCGATGTTGTCGGATCTGCCATTTTGCCCACTCCTGGGGTAGAGGATAATGCAGGGATGGGGGAAATATGGCCTGCAGGCCAAATCCAGCCTGCCAGGCCATTCTATCCAGCTTGGATAAAAAAAATGTAGAACATTAATATTTATCTGCTCCTGGCTGCCTGTCAAAGATGACAGGAGCCAGGGGCAGTAGGACTCAGGAAGAGCTGGCAGGAGCCAGCAACAAGGCCAGCCCAGCTCAGCCCAGCCCAGCCCAGCCCTGCCCCAACCCTAACCCCCTCCTACTCCCACCCCCCAACTGGAAGCCTTTCTGTGCCACAGCTTTCACTGCTTCCCTGCATGCCCACTGGCCCCCAGCACCATGTGTCCCCTGGCTGTATCACTAGACTGCAGGAACATGGGGCCTGCACTGATACCATGGGGCCAGGAGCAGGAGGGGCGTGTGTGTGTGTGTGTGTATTCATAGGGCAAGTTCCACAAGCACACCCCACCATACACATGTCCTCACACCCCCTCACACATCCTAGCCACTCTTCCCTTGCACACAATCTCCCACAAACCCCATACCCACCCGCACCCCATATATCCAAACATATACCCACATGCTCCCACACCCAATGCCCACACCCTTCCCTACATGCCCACAGTTCCCCACAAACCTATACCCACCCTCCATTTCCCCCATACCCCCACAGTATACAAGAGTAAGACTTCATTTTAAGCTATTGTGCAATCACCTCCATGTGCAGTACACAATGCATGTAAATTGGGACAAAAATATTTTTTAAAATCAAATCAATGAATGTTGTAGAGGTTCAATTTAAAAAAAATTTTTTTTAGAATATTATTTGGTATTTTTCTGGTTCTGAGATGGGAAAACCACTTGGTGAAAGGCGTACTCCCAGGGGCAGGGGGAGGGACTTCTGGTGGCAAAGGTTGAGGGTTAGGGGGTGGGACTTCCAGTCCCAAGATGGCGACCAGGGGGTGGGGCACCTGTCAGGGCCTGGGGCTACCATGTGGCCCTTGACAGCTTGTCAAAATTTGGTAAGCGGCCCTCCACCAAAAATAATTGCCCTCCCCTGGGATGATGTGCTATGGCATTTGAAGAACACAATGTGTACCAGAGAAGGAAGGAAAAGGGGCATGTTTGACCAGAACAGTATTAAGCTGGAGTAGAGCACTGCCATCATATCCCTGAGAGACTTGATGCTTGTAGAGTAACTTGCCTCTGTGACTGGGGGTAAAAATGAACTAGAGGTTCATAACCCTGTCTTCAGGGACACTGTTCTCTGCTACATCCAAGTATAGCTCAGATGTAAATTGAGAATCAGGGAGTATAACCTGAAAGGTTTTTCTTTGTTAGATTAGGATTTACTCTAAGACATTTGTCTTTTTTTAAAAACACTAATTTTTTTTATATATCTAAAGGTGTAGTTGGATTGGGGATGGTAAAATGTTGCATTTAGTTTATTTTTAATTTTTTTTGCAGTAAACCTTTAAAGAAGGGAATCACTCTTATGGTTTATTAGTGATGTGTGTTTTAATTCTTTAGTTGTACTTTTTTCCAGAAAGAATATTTTGGTGAACTAGACTTGAATACAGGACAACTGGGCATTGATGATTCTGCACAAGTACCACCTGGTTAGTGTGCTTTAGTTATTTAAGATTGAAAAGGAATATTAAAGTATTTGTTTTTCTGAAATCCTGAATTTCCTGAAAAATATTAAAATTTGAGTAATACTCAAGCCATTTTTATAATTTTTCCGTTGTAAACATAATCAGTTTCAGGATTAAGCTTAGAGTACAAAACTGCGCGCTGCAAAAACCTTCAGAAACCTGCTGTCAGTAAGCTGGTCACTCAAAAGTAAAGCTGTGATGCCACAGGACAGTTGGGTAAAGCCCCAGAATCTTTGTAATTTCTCTCTTTGCAAAAGCATTGTAGAAAACCTTACGTCCTCACTGAGGCATTGGGCGTTCAGCAGCACCTCTAATCTGTTGTTCTCTCGCAGAAGCTACAACCATTGAGGCACTGAACCTCTGGACTTGGTCTGGCCTTTGGACTCCGTCTCAGCGGTCTGAAGGGGGGATGGTAGATTTAGGCAGCCTCCCCTCCTCCGTATTAGGCATATACGTGTTGAAAGTCTTGGTGTGAAGGTCACATGACTCTTTAATGGGGGTAAAGAACCTGAGGCATCTACCAAGGTTTACAAGCAGCCCTATGAGGAAGGTCCTAGGAAAAGGGGGCCAGAAAAGCCATGCCCCAACCTATTCTATGCTGGCCAGAGTGAAATAAAATGACTTGCATGTTGGAACGTTCAGACTCCGACCCTGGATTCTATTTGGACTCTGATTTATGGAACATGGCACTGCTAAACTATGAATTGGTTAGACTTGGAATTGACATTGCTGCTTATCAGAAACGTGGCTCTCAGATACAGGTTCTAGCTAAGAGAATGACTCCACTGTATGCTGGCATAGTGAGCCAGCAGGGGAGAGGAGAAAGCATGGAGTGGCCTTTGCAATTAGAAACAGCTTATCTTCCTATGAAAGCCCCATTGCTGTATCTGGTTGACCCATGATGCTTCGTGCATGCAGAAAATGGCTTCATTTCATTGTTTAGTGTCATTGTGCCTACCCTTCAAGATAGAAATGAAGACAAGAATGTTTTCTATCAACAACTTGAAGAGATTAGGAAAACTTGTAGAAATGAGACCATTATAATACTTGGTGACTTCTATGCAAGAGCTGGATGTAGATTTTAGAATTGGCTTGGTGTTTTGGGTAAACATGGAATTGGTAATATGAATGAAAATGGTCAGTGAATGTTAGAACTCTGCAAGTCAAAATCTGTGTGTTTACCAACACCTACTTCCCTGGGAAAGATATGGGAACATCCAAGATCAGGACACTGACACCAATTAGATTTTGTACTGACCAGGTGAAACCACCTGAAATAAATCCTGCACATGAGATATTATCACACTGCTGGCTTTGACACTGACCATGCCTTAGGCCACTGCGAAGTCAGAATTAAAGCCAAAAAGATCCACCATAACAAAACTACCAGTCTTCCTCAGATTGACCTCAGACAAACTAAAGAAAGATTCAGACTATTTAATTAAGAAGTTGTGAAAGCAAGATTACCTAACAACTCAGCCACCAAGGCTTGGGAAAGCTTAAAAGTTAATGTGTACAATGCTGCTGTAACAATGCTTGGCAAAAAATGTGAGAAATGCAGTCTGGTTTGAAGAGTGCTCTGAAACCCTTCTACCACTGGTTGAGAACAAAAGGACAGCATTAACCATCTACAAAAAATCTCCCAGCACCATGGCCCTGGAAAATCTGAGAGAGGCTCAAGAGAAGTGCAAAAAGAAGCTAAGAGGTGCACCCAAGATTTTTGGCTGAAACTGTGGTGATGTTCAAAAAGGCAGCTAATACAAGTGATAGCTGTGGAATGTACAAAGGCATCAAATGAGCAATTGGTCCTGTCAAGAAGAAAACAGCTCCGCTGAAGGACTTAAACAGAAATGTCATTGCTGATAAACAAAAACAGCTTGAATGTTGGATTGAACACTGTGGAATTGTATACTCCAGGGAGACTGAAATCAAATGCAAAGAGCTCAAAGGATTGCCACAGTTCTAAGTTACGATGGATTTAGACAATGAGTCTACATTAGAATTGCAGAAAGCTATTAAAATGATCCCTGGGAACAAGGCATCCGGCAATGACTGTTTGCCTGCTGAAATCTACAAATTTGTTGAAGTACTTTGAAAGCTCCGTGAAATTTTACTGCTCTGTTGGAAAGAGGAAGTGGTACCGCAAGATTTCAAAGACACTCAGTTTGTACAATTATACAAAAACAAAGGGGATAGAAATGACTGTAACAACTGTAGAAGCTTTTCCCTGTTGAACATCATTGGAAAAGTTGTCACTCGCATTATGATCTCTAGGCTGCAATCTCTAGGCGAAAGATTATTTTTCTGAAAGTCAATGCAGTTTTTGCTCAGGACACTCTACCATTTGATATGACAATTTTGGTCAAGCCACTGCAAGAGAACTATAGAGAAAAAACAATACCACTGTACATACCTTTCATCTATCTGAAGGCCTTTGATACAGTCAACAGACAGGTCTTTATTACTGTTCTGAAGAAAATGAGTTGCCCCCCCAAACTGTTGAACATCATTTGCTCACTGCATCAAGGTATGGAGGCAACTGTAATGTATGAAAACAAAGAATCAAATGCCTTTGACACCATCAAGAGTGAAATGGGTGCGTGTGTTTCAGCCTCTGTGCTTTTTAACATCTACTTTTCATTCCTGCTTCTTCATGCATTCAGGGACAGCAATGATGACATTTATCTTCAAACCAGAGTAGATAGAAGCTTGTTCAACATTACAAGGTTTAGAGTGAGAACCAAGGGGAAAGAGCTGGTTCTGAAACTTCCTGTTTGCAGATGTCCCGGCCTTGGTTGCCCACAGTGACTCTCCCTTGCAAACTGTCTTGGGCAGATTTTTCTTAGTCATGCAAGAGCTTCAGGTTGACAGTCTCAACAAGACTGTGATCATGCAGCAGGTAGTGGAAGAACCAATACCGGACATCACTCTGGAGGGTAAATCTCTTGGCAGTGTCGGCAGCTTTTGTTACTTGGGTTCTATGATCAGCAGGAATCTTGACCTTCAGGCTGAACTGTCTAGCAGAATCAGAAGAGTAGTTAAGAATTTCGGGCTATTACAGATACACGCGTGGAATAGCAGCAAATTATCAACCAAGGTAAAGATGGAAATCGACTAGTCTTGCATGCTGTCATCCCTGCTTTATGGCTTAGAAATGTAGATGATATATACTAGGCAGTTCAAGAGATTGAACAGCTTCTGTTTGAGATGCCTACTTAAGATCCTGGAAATAAAGTGGGAAGACAAAATACCAAACACAGAGGTGCTGAAGTGCTCAGAACTGACACACTTAGAAACTGCTATCAAGAAGAGGAGGTTGCAATAGCTTGGCCATGTCAGGAGAATGGGAGGAGACCATATCACCAAGAGTATTTTGTACAGTGACACTCAAGATGGCTCAGGAAAGCAGGGTTGACTTTTATGGCAGTACCAAGACATAGAAAAATGATATGAAGTCATTTAGTGTAAATGTATAAAGCTTAAAGGAGCGCATAGAATCCTTTCCAATCTGAAGGGAGTATCTGGCACTGGGTGCAGTACATGAAGCTGCTTTGATCCAAAGGATGGAAGCAAAGTGAAAAAGAAGAGAGCAGCATGCTGTAAACTTGGAGTGCAACTCAGACAACACATGGATCTGTGAAACGTCTAACAGCTTTGTTGCTGTCCAGTTGGGCTTGTCAGCCATAAGTGGATTCATCAGGCACCTGACTAAACTTCTTACGCATACACTGAATCAGAGGATTGACAGTTGCCTTTATTTATAGAAAAAACCTTATGCATGTATTACTATTCAGAAGCTTAATATATAAAGGGTGTTTTCTATTTTTTTTTCTCAAAACAATTAATTTTGAAGGAAGAATAAATAGTCGCAGATAGAATAAATATAAAATAATAGTGATCTTTTTCAAAGGAAAGCTAATCTAAACAAAGTTGTTCAGGTGCTTACAGTGTACAGCCCATTGGATGTTTCTACTTTCACTCTACATTGCGAAGAATATTGCTGCTTTAATTCTAGTAACATTAATGGTAAAAATTAGTGGTGCTATGGTATATACTGGTCTATAAATATTTTTGAAGGCATCTGTTAATTAAAAATACGTGTATAGTAGTAGCTGCAATATTTGTTTTTCCTTTTTTTTTTTTTTTACTTTTCACTGACATTTATTTATTTTTTAGAACTCTTTGAAAATGAGCATTTACGTATTGGGCAAAAAGGTAAGGATTTAACCTCAATTACAGGAAGATATAAAGAATTAAGAATACCTTAAAGAACTGTCTCTCTCAAATACTCAATCCTGAGAACTTTTAACAATTCAGCCGTAACACAAATGGGTAATTCTGAAAATGTAGATACAGAATAGAAAAAGCTAGTGTTTGACATGTACCAGTAGATGCCAGATTAATGTTCCATAGCTGGAATAGGAAGCAAAAACACATAGGAAAAGCAAAATAGGAAGCATAGACGCATACCTTTTTGGCACTAACTTAACCCATGCTACGGCTGAATTTTATTTAAAAATCAAAGGAGTCTGTTCTCTGTTCTGTGCACACACAGTTCTCATTAATCTTAATGGGATTTATGCCCATGCATCAGAAGAGAATATAACCCTAATTCTGTTTTTGATGATAATTCACAGTTGCCGAATTTGATTAATATGGTCACATTGTGCCGTTATGGAGAATTTTCATACTTTATTCTGTGTGTATATTTCTTTTGCAGTATTTATACTTTACATCTGTAGGTTGAAAAGTTATCCTACATTTTAAGAAAAAAAATCTTTCATAGCGCAAACCTGCTTAGAATAGAAGTGTGTAGTTTTGTCTGACCTTAAAGATACAATAAATCGCACATTATTTTTTATCGCTGTTCTCCCTGACCATCATTTTCAGTGGGTAGATGCCAAGTCAGATATGGCTTCAGGAATGCCGTCAGGAAGGTGGTAGACTCTCTTTTTTGGGTAGAATAAAAGCAGCAACATTTTTCACTTCTCTGTTTTTATGAGGTCCTTCCTTTATCTTCCTTCCTCTGTTGTCTGTCCCCAGTTCCTGGCTGATTGTACAACCCTCCCCCCC